GTTCAATCGTTATCGTTCGGAGTTATGACAGCATTAGCGCACGAGCAGCAGAGGTCGGCAAATAGCACTAGGGGAAGCTTAGACCCTTCGTCCAGAAGCGGCGATGACTGCTAGCGCCGTAATGTGCCGGCGGACAGTAGCCTTGGCGAGGGCGACCAGCCTTGGGTGCGGAAAAACTATGACTCCAGACGGTCGTGAACTGGGCATGTTTGGAGCAAAGCCGGGAATATGTCAATATTCGACCGCCTAGTGCCTGATTTTGACAATACAGCATGCCCTAGTTGAACGGGAAATGCGGCATCAAGTCTCTTACCTTCTGAGCTCGAGGCCGGTGGTTGCGTAGGTTGTGGAGTAGATCCCGGCGCGGCCGTGTCCAGTGTAGGTGTAGCCGCAGGCCCAAGTGTGGCCGCTGCCGCGAGATACCATGTTGGCGGGTATTCAAGGTGGCATTGATGCGCGCACTCAATCAGTCGACAGAATAATCACAGGTTCGGAAGACATGGTGCCCGAGAAAGTCTTGAAGTATTGATTGGGTCTTGCGACAAACAACGGTCGCAAATGTAAACTGCAGGATTCCTGGCGGAACATCTGTTCAATCGTTATCGTTCGGAGTTATGACAGCATTAGCACACGAGCAGCAGAGGTCGGCAAATAGCACTAGGGGAAGCTTAGACCCTTCGTTCAGAAGCGGCGATGACTACTAGCACCGTAATATGCCGGCGGACAGTAGCCTTGGCGAGGGCGACCAGCCTTGGGTGCGGAAAAACTATGACTCCAGACGGTCGTGAACTGGGCATGTTTGGAGCAAAGCCGGGAATATGTCAATATTCGACCGCCTAGTGCCTGATTTTGACAATACAGCATGCCCTAGTTGAACGGGAAATGCGGCATCAAGTCTCTTACCTTCTGAGCTCGAGGCCGGTGGTTGCGTAGGTTGTGGAGTAGATCCCGGCGCGGCCGTGTCCAGTGTAGGTGTAGCCGCAGGCCCAAGTGTGGCCGCTGCCGCGAGATACCATGTTGGCGGGTATTCAAGGTGGCATTGATGCGCGCACTCAATCAGTCGACAGAATAATCACAGGTTCGGAAGACATGGTGCCCGAGAAAGTCTTGAAGTATTGATTGGGTCTTGCGACAAACAACGGTCGCAAATGTACTTCAGGATTCCTGGCGGAACATCTGTTCAATCGTTATCGTTCGGAGTTATGACAGCATTAGCACACGAGCAGCAGAGGTCGGCAAATAGCACTAGGGGAAGCTTAGACCCTTCGTTCAGAAGCGGCGATGACTACTAGCACCGTAATATGCCGGCGGACAGTAGCCTTGGCGAGGGCGACCAGCCTTGGGTGCGGAAAAACTATGACTCCAGACGGTCGTGAACTGGGCATGTTTGGAGCAAAGCCGGGAATATGTCAATATTCGACCGCCTAGTGCCTGATTTTGACAATACAGCATGCCCTAGTTGAACGGGAAATGCGGCATCAAGTCTCTTACCTTCTGAGCTCGAGGCCGGTGGTTGCGTAGGTTGTGGAGTAGATCCCGGCGCGGCCGTGTCCAGTGTAGGTGTAGCCGCAGGCCCAAGTGTGGCCGCTGCCGCGAGATACCATGTTGGCGGGTATTCAAGGTGGCATTGATGCGCGCACTCAATCAGTCGACAGAATAATCACAGGTTCGGAAGACATGGTGCCCGAGAAAGTCTTGAAGTATTGATTGGGTCTTGCGACAAACAACGGTCGCAAATGTACTTCAGGATTCCTGGCGGAACATCTGTTCAATCGTTATCGTTCGGAGTTATGACAGCATTAGCACACGAGCAGCAGAGGTCGGCAAATAGCACTAGGGGAAGCTTAGACCCTTCGTTCAGAAGCGGCGATGACTACTAGCACCGTAATATGCCGGCGGACAGTAGCCTTGGCGAGGGCGACCAGCCTTGGGTGCGGAAAAACTATGACTCCAGACGGTCGTGAACTGGGCATGTTTGGAGCAAAGCCGGGAATATGTCAATAATCGACCGCCTAGTGCCTGATTTTGACAATACAGCATGCCCTAGTTGAACGGGAAATGCGGCATCAAGTCTCTTACCTTCTGAGCTCGAGGCCGGTGGTTGCGTAGGTTGTGGAGTAGATCCCGGCGCGGCCGTGTCCAGTGTAGGTGTAGCCGCAGGCCCAAGTGTGGCCGCTGCCGCGAGATACCATGTTGGCGGGTATTCAAGGTGGCATTGATGCGCGCACTCAATCAGTCGACAGAAAAATCACAGGTTCGGAAGACATGGTGCTCGAGTGAGTCGTCAAGTGTTGGACGGGTCTTGCGACAAACAACGGTCGCAAATGTAAACTGCAGGATTCCTGCCGGGACATCGGTTCAGACGCTGTCGTTCGGAGTTATTACAACATATTACCATGACTCTACACTGCATGTACGGAGCACAGAAGCAACAGAGCTCGGTAAACAACACTAGGGGAAGCTTAGACCCTTCGTTCAGAAGTGGCGATGACTAGCCCCGTGATATGCCGGATAGAATAACGTAGCCTTGGCGAGGGCGACCGGTCATGGGTGCGGAAAAACATCACTCACTGGTAGTGCGAGTGCCAGGTTGGCGGGTATTGAAAGACGTACTTGGGTTTGGACGTTTGGACAATCGAGAGCTTCGCCAGTTATTCATGCTTTACCCTACACCCCCCCAGCCAGAGGAGCGGAAAGCCAAGCCAAGAAGGGAAGAATGACAGACCGCCTATTCTTGGTGGTACGGTTTCGTGCACTCAACCAGTTGGAAGGTTAATTACTCCGTTTTGTTCGAATAACTGCTTGAGAAGGTCGTTTACGGTAATTAATGAGTTTGGAGTCGGGTAACGTGATCTCGAGAGGAGTTATCACAACATCGAATATGACGATGCATGTCTGCTTATTGCCTTCGTAAGCCATCAGCTGAACCTCTAAACAATTTTGTTTTCGTAGCAGACGGCGTCTTGGCGCAACCTGAGCATGCTAAATCAAGGTCGCATCTAGTTCCTAGACATCGGGAAGCACTTGTTGTCGTGGATGAATCTAGACTACGGGTGTTGGACAGTATCAGTTCGTCGATTGCCCAAGTCTCTCCATGAAGAGGATGAACTTGATCGATAATTTTCTACAGAGTTGCTTTGCAGGCCTGTGTTCTCTCACCACACGTGTACCCTTCATCTCCGGGAGTGCACACTTCTTGGCCGCACACGTTGTCGACCACGCCCTCAATAGAACACCCTGGTAACGTTCGAAGAACATCAGTGTTTGGGGGCGCATCGCGAATATTGCACATGAAGGTACAAGCCCTAGTGCTGCTTAAGTAGGACGATGGCAACACATCTTTCTCAAAATTGAGCATGCCTACATCCATCCCTCGCCCCATGGTTACCTCCGAGATCAGTCTCGCGCAGAGGTTTGGAGATACAATTATACACTTTTGCACAGAGTAAGAGCTGTCAAGTGGTATGGAACAGCCAGGTTTGAGCTCAATCAGCACTGCAGCTCCTTTCGATCATATCGTCGTGGCTGCAACTGAACAATGTGCAGACCCATCGTGGACCGTTTTGCCATGCATTCCGTTCACATTGTAGTCTGGGGGTGGAAGAGCTGACCACCTTTTACAGCAATCCGGTCGATGTACAGTATCTGGACCAACGGGCGACGCCGAGCAATGTTTCGCTGGACCTGTGAGCCGCTCACTACGAAAAAAATTCTCTGTGGGATGCCTCGATTGGGAAGTGGAGCGTAAAACAAAATCCCACGCAAACTGCTCCTGGGCGATCCGGTACCTTCGTGGGGCAGACTGTGATGCAGCAAAAGCAACATGGTACCGGTGAGCACCTATCAGCCCCAAGCCCATCGGTACACCGTTGTCTACGAACACTCACCACATTCGTCACCGTATGCATCAACGTGGAGCCCGTCTGCAACGTCCGAGGCATCATCATCAACTTCCACCCTGCGAAGTGCGTACAGGAGGTCAAACAGGTCTCGTTATACAGACAGTCGAAGCAAAGAAGGCGAGGTCGATCTACGATGCAATGTATCAATTGACATGCTCCATGGATAAAGCAAACAAGGAGGATGCCGGGAAAAAACTCTGCTTTCTGACTGTTCAACTGAAGTTTTGTTTTTTTTCCACAAATCAGCGCTCACAACACTAGTGCCGTTTACTCCAACCCGTGGTGACACAGAAGGGCCCTTCGCTACCCTCCCCTCCTGCGGTACGTTGCCTTCGATTTTCATGCGAGGATAGTTCAGCACTCTCTTCCCTCTGTGCACACACGGCGAACTACAGTAGCGCTATCCACTAGGCCAGGAGCGGACGCAAGAGAAAAACTCACTTTGCAAGAAAACCTCGCTTACGCCGGGATCTGAACCCTTGACCTGACCTCTAGATGGTTCAGAGGATACCAACCAGACCACCGGGGCGACCGGGGAATCAATGCAATGCATTATTTAGACGTCCTAAGAGCCCACGCGTGCGAAATCAGAACAAGTTGTGGGCCCGAACAATATCGCCAACGCGATAGCTCAAAACTATGTTAGTGTTCGACAAATCACGTTTCTGTTCAACATCCTGACATGTAAATGCCATACTCCTCACATCACGAATATCACAAGGGTTAGGGTCACTGCATTAACACCAATAGGCTATTGTGGTAACACGCATTCGTCCCATATCGCGAGCAGCAGCGAACAATAAGTGTGCCCGGTATCTGCGTGATGCTGGCCGTATCCGCAAACGCGCGATAGGGTCCATATTCTTCTCTTGATATGTACGACGAAGCGATAGATGCATGCTTTTTAGGCGTTCCTCACAGTTCATTTGAGGGCAAGCACTCCAGAGTATTCCCTTCCAGGCGCCTAAAATTCAGGTCCCGAACGAGATTTGCCGGCGCACGACCGGACGAGAGCGGCACATGCAACAACGGATCATACGTTGGGGAAGGAACAACAAGGTTAGCATGGTGGCCACTAACGATACGAACAGTTGGTGAGAAGCCATCGCCTAACAGAGCAACAAATCATTGCCGCAGCACCGCGCCGATGATGTTCCAGGTAGAGCGAAAATGGTAGTTCAAGTATAGGACGATACTCCTCTTGTCTCATGGCTTGCCTGGGAGGAAATCGATACACCACTCCAGAGATAAAACATAATCTTGTGAGGGAGAGGGAGAGCTTTCAGTAAACCGGAGGGGTTTGAGATGGAGATTTGTTTTAAGAGGGGCACCCACGAGGTGGGCCATGACGGAAGTGACTAATACTGCCCGCTACCTCGGGCCAACGCATGTCTACAGTTCCCGACAAGGGCGAAATACACCCACAACTCCTTGATTTGCAGGTGTTCTCGTTGGCAGGAAAAGAACTACCAGACATCCGGCAGGTTGAAGCCATTATGCCAATACACTTGAGATAAGGAAATCACACAAGTATGGGTGTCATCTCATGCCGAAAGCAGGCAGGCCTAAGTGTATATTATGCACGTACGCCGTAAGCTGCAACGACGAGGATCAACATATGCTCGATGTAATGCCCCGGCGAAGTATCATGTGGACCACGAATGAATTTCTTTCGCGGCATTTGATCGCAGCACGTTGAACTACCTGGCCTCTGAAGCTCCCAAATAAGAACGGAATATAGATACACGAAAGCAAGAGAATGCCGTAATAGATGTGATTACTGTAGACCGTTCAGTATCTGCTCGAGACTAGAGTGAGAAGTTGAGAGAATTCGTAAGAGGTCCATTCTCAATCAACGGAGCCAACGATCAATCATCTCAGAACCGAAGGGCGTCCGAACTGCATCAGCTACCCTCTTTCCAGGTGCGCTGTTTACCATCAACTTTGACGCCAGGTTAGAGCAACCAAGCTGATTTGAAAGAGGCAAACTATCGCAGATTCGACAGCAGTTGCGCTGCTAGTGCAATGGTACTCTCCCCAGCATCTCCCGACTACTCGTTCGACACCCACATTCTCTCTTGCAAAGAAAACAGTGAACGCATGCACCGACTGCAGTTCTGCAAACCGGGAAAATGTTTGGTGATTTCTTTTGTCTAGCACAGGCTGAGCGCATGCGGAAAAGCATCCCCGCTACTTACAGCATTTTCAGGGCCGTAAGATCCCCGAAGATCTCCTCCGGCAGCGTGGTGAGGTTGTTGTTATACAGCCACCTTTGAGTGCCAAGGGGAGGCCATCAGCGGAACAAGGCAGCCACAAGTTAGCCATGAATTCCCATTTGATTGTGCACTGACGACGTTTCGAATGCGTTGGTAGAGTAAGGGAATATTTTCCGCCCCGTGATGAACTGCAAAGTACTATTCGGACCCGATTATACTGTAGGTCAAGCCCACTGCATACACAGCGGCCTAAAAAAAGCCGTACTACCGCAGTACTTGAGCATCCCCGGCAGTGAGAAGGTTCATGTCACGGGGGAAAATGGCCTGGCGCGTCCTCGATGTTGGAAGGCTGTCTTTGCGCACCAAAAGCTAATCCACGGGGTTTATGCCTCACACAAGCTGGAGCGCGTTTCGGGAAAAACTTGCACATTTTCATGTTTTGATAGTGTTGCCCCAACCCCAGAAGGGTAGAGGAAACCTTTGCCCGAAAAAGAACGGCCGGTGTGATACACGGAGCATCGGCGGTTGGTTGCGCGTGATCTGATGATTAGAGAGTTGCGGAGCCCCGTGTGCCTTGGTCTCTCTGGCTTACTCCTGCCTCGGGCTTCGGGCATGTCAATACGGTTGTGCCCTTGTTAATGGAAGCACGCATACATATCTCCGCTAGGCACGGCTGATAGGGTGTTAACGTCTGGTCACCCGCCGAACACTCCGACAAGAATCCCCCGGGAGTTCCCGCAGATAGGGCGTTCGACAGGTGATGCACCGGCAAAAACGGTTCGGAGGGGGTTCGGGGGTTCTCCAAACGATACCGCATTGCCCGTTTCCACTCATGGGTGCACTGGATGCCGCCTGTGACGGTTCACTAGACCATGGCGTAAAATAGAAAAGACCCAAGCCCCGCCGACATCTGCGGCACACACATCGCTGCTAGCGCCATGGCACTGCCCAGCACCCGTCAAACACATGTTCGACATCCGCATACCCCCCCCCTCTTGTTCACTACAAACAGTGAGAACATATGCGCGAAACCACAGATTAGTGCGCAGGCGCACATATGAGGGCAGCGAGGGC